TTGTCTTTTTGTACGTTCAGTCTCTCACTCTTCTCTTTTAGTCATTCTCTCCCTGGCAGGAAGTTGGCCAAAAGACAAGACTCAAGATTCAAATCTTCACTGCTTCATGATTGTCGACTTGTCTCCATAGTCAGTTTTATCATAAGAGCTTCTTAATCTTTTTGGTGTTGTATTAAAATGGTGATCATCTGATGAGAGAGGGGCTGCATAAAAGCATATAAGACTCTGGATAGAGTTCACTGGACGGGCATGATGACCACTATGACAAAAACAAGAGTAATGAAAAGCGTGTTTAAGATGCTTCAGAACCAAGAACCCAAATTATCCAACCAAGGCTAAGAGAACAATCCCACAAGTCATAAAGATCAGCCTTGGTGAGCCAAGTAGCTTTTTCCTTCAAGTGATAGGTAGCCTTTTCTACCTTACCTGTTTCATTGAGCCAAGTATAGCAAGAACTGTTAGCAATTGCACAGGTACTGTCGTGACTAGTGAACAGGAAATCTAGATTGTCCATCACTGCTCTTGCCAAGGAATTGAGACTGATCTGTATTCCGTCTAAGGTAGAGGTGATATTATTTTTAACTTCTGCCAGAATTAAAATGATCTATGTCTCATAGCCTTTTGTTTATATGATTCTTATTATTGGAAGCACTGCTTTGATTGTTTGCATAAACAATGAATCAGTAACACCCCCAGGTAAAGTGCCTAAATAATTGAGGGTAACCTCATTTTGGAGCGCACATCTGAATTTCCTGCTTTCATGACTTTAGAATTAAGGTGTCTGTGCGCAGATAAGTTTTGGAATACTGTTTCTAAAGTGCATGCAATATTAATTTGAGACAAGCAAAACTAGCCATCCTGGTTGCAGAGGAAGTAGTATCTGGTAGGAATACATGGATATCCAGGAAAAAAGAAATTATTCATGGCATGAAGTTGAAACCAAGACCTTACATTGGCCTGTTTGCACATTTGTATCTATATTAGTCTCTTCCAGATACTAAGTAATTGGCCCATCATTTTAGGAAATTCTGAATTCAAATTTAGAATTACCTAGGGTCTAATTGATAGATCGTAATAATTTTTTCTTTTTCTGTGAGAGGGCATTGCTAGGAAAGTAGCAAATGACCTTGTTTAAGGTCATTTGTCCACATAAGTGCAAGTGAAATGCCGTTGGCTGTAATTGTCTTTGATCTCATTTGTTGAGACTGGAAATAGCCCTAGGTTTTTACCATGGAGGTCTGGTGAGGAATGACATATCCAGCAATCAGTAAGCTTGAAGGGTACTATTTGGGAAATCTAAGATTGGTGTTAGAATAATTATGCTCTGATCTAACAATTTTAGTAAGAAGGGAATAAAAGGAGAAGGGCCATTATGGGTGAGTGATAACCAGGGGTCTATAGAAATTAGAAGAAGAATGTAAATAAGCAGATAAAAAACAAAATAGTAATTAGGCAAGGGTTTTGGTCCACTATCTTGTGCAGAAGCTGTCCACTATCTGAGGTCATCAGGTTGTTCTGAGGATCTTGGGTCATCTGTCTACTTTGAAGATCAGCTGCTTCTAGAGAATCTGCATTTTGAGGTCCCCTATTAGAGCAGGCTTCCAATTTTGTTGGTTCTGGATTGTTTCTTTAGTTATGAAATGTGAGCCCAAGGATTCACTCCAGGGAGCTTTCCTTCTGTATTCGTTGTTAACAATATCTGATAGAATCCCTTCCAGTGATGTTCAAGAGCGACTTTTCTCTGTTGTATCTCCCAACAGATGAAATCTTATAGTTGAATGTCATGAAGAGGCTGTTTAAGATGTTTGAATGCAACATTAACCTGTTAGTAATAGGACTGAGTGTAGTCCGTGAGTCTCTTGCAACATTTTGCAATGTCTACATGCATCAGGGCAGAGTATAGTATTGTAGGTAAAATCCTGATGCACTTGGGCCTTCCAGTAACTAGTTCACAGGGAAATAAACAGTATGTTCTCTAGGAGTGGACCATATTGGCATAAGGGTGGGTGGGAGTACCTTTGACCAAGGGAGCTCAAGGACTTCTGAAAGTTTTGTTAATTTCATTTCAAGATGTCATTGATTCTTTTCACCTTTCAGAAGTTTGTAGGTGATAAGAGCAGTGTGGTTTCTGAGTAAAGGGTAATACTTTACAGAGCTTTTTTTTTTTTTTATAATATTTCTTGTGAAGTGTGTGTCTTGGTCACTTGATATGAAAGTTTATATTCCCAAGATTGGAATCACAAAATCGACCAGCTTTTTAGCAACTGTAAAGATTATAGCTTTTTGGCAAAGAGATGTTTAAACTCACTCTGAAATTATATAGACATTCGATAACTAAAATATATTCAAACCTCATGAAAAGTGGAAGCTATATAAAATACATCATGAGGTGTTCAAAGGGCCTTCGAAGCTTTGGTTCCTGGTCATTTCCCACATTCACAGGTTCTCTAGAGTTATGCTGTTGACAAGTCCATGTGACTTAAAAATGACCTCAGCTGTCTTTTTAAAGTTTCCCCAGCCGTGTTGATTTAAGATAGTAACCAATTTAACTGTACCATGATGAGTAGTTTCATGGAGAAATTTAGCTAATATCTATTTGAAACCATACAGTGCCACTACGCAGCTGTCTTGGGAGCACCAGAGATGATCTGAGTGAAGCTAGAACCACTTTTTTTTTTCCATTTTTCTTTTCAAAATGAGGGGCTAAAAATTGATATTTTATAATGGTTTCTTTGAATTCCTTTAAGGATTCATCCTTTAAGAGTTTAGATAGGATCAAAACCATTGTTAAGGCTGCTTGTTTGGCAAAATGATCTGCTGGAGTATTTCTTTTAGCTTCCATGTTATTTCTTTTTCACAGCAGCTACCTCTTTATGAAGTAAGAGGGCATCTAAAAGTGTGTTAAACATCTTGTCCATTTTTGATGGGGGTTCCAGCAGAGATGACCCTTTCTTTCCAAAGCATCCCAAAGCCATGGTTTTTCTAAAATAACATGCCTGATATGTATTTACTCTGTGGTCTTTGGCTATAGTAGACAAGCTCAAGGAAGTGCAGTGGCTTTGCCCTTTGGGCTGATTTTTCCCTCGGGTAGAGGACTGCATTCTACAGGCAAGCTTAAATTGGTGTTAGCGTGTTCTGCTCCAGTTTCAAGTTTTGAGGTATGATCTGTCAACAAATAACATTAGGTCAGAGTTTTCAATGGGAGTCCTTAAAAACACTGAATGAGGTATAGCAAGTTCCTAACTGAGCTAAGAAAATGTTAAGGTTCCCTTCCCCTGGTGCAGGGAGGAGGGTGGGCAAGTCAAGGTGTCTCAGTGGTGAATAGTAGTGTGATGGGAAGAATCTCATGGGAGGCTAATTAGCTAACTGAAAAGTGTTGTGTGTTCTCAGGCAGTAGTACTGTCTGTGCCGCATGACATGAGGAACCATGAGAAGAGAGGGGCGCTTATAACTAGTTAAGCAGAAGCAGCGCGTTTTGAAGGGGTTACCCCACAACAAGGGGACTATACGTTTACAACCAGGTCAAGGTGATGAGTTGTTTTTGACGCTCATAAAGTTTAAGTTGAACCTCTAAGGACACACCCAGATTGCTCATATGCAAGTAGATGAAGGGATTTCATTTGGGGTTGCCTGTAGAGGTAGTGTGTTGACTAATCTTCTTCAGATAACAGAAGGTCTGTTTATGACTTAGACTAGTCACAATCTCAGGAAAATTTGGCACTTGTTTGCCATATTCGGTTGTTAGAAACAAAATTCAGCTGAGTAGATGATTCATGAATCAGGCAGCCTCCAATCTAGAAGGAAGAAAGGAACTCCAAGGAGCTGTACAAAATTGAAGACTTTTATAGACAGAAGGCAGTGGATGCAGGATGCTATACTAGCAAACAACAGGTTGGTCGTGGCAAGGTCACTTTCCTTTAGGGGACAGCAGGGGTCTATCAGGCAAGTTAACTCACTAGTGCTGACCAGGTGATGCCTGATGGTTTAGGATTCCATTGCTGAGAGAGCTTAAACTGTGATTAAATTAAGTATCCGTTTGGTAACGTGGGCTTAGCATAAGCAACTTCGTTATGGGCCTGTTGTCCTATTTTTAACAGTTAGAAATCCTCTCGATTGTTTTGTGAGAGGCCTAAGATGTTTGGATAGTCTACAGCCTTATCAGGAAAGAGCGATTTCCCTTCTTATATAGGTAGTAACCTCAATCGTGGATTATGTTTTGGCAAAATTATAATGGATCTTTTGAAACTTTATGTCCCTCTTTCGCTAAGGCTGAGAGCAAGTAAATAGAATCCTTTTTTACAAGACTCCCTATCCTCTGAATAAAGCAGGAGATCATGTACAAATTGTATCAGGACTAAATTACAAGAGAAATAGACATTTTAAGTGTTGATTGAGGGCCTGGAAGAAATAGGAGGCTTCAGTGAACACCTGGGGTGTGACTCTCCCGGTATACTACTGTCCTCCCAAGGTGCAGACAAAAAGGAATGGTTTAGAATGGAAAAAGAGAAGGCTTCAGGTGTATTCTGATTGGAGGGTGTTGGATGGGGAGGCTCAAGGCAGGCACATTAGAAATGAATGACCTTGTGTAATTGGTTTGGGAGCATAATTTGTCTTCCTCTGGATTGTTCTTAGTTGGAAGGGGGCAGTCACTGACTAACTCCTGACCATTTGGGGCCAATTGCTGTAGAGATTATGGTTGACTTCTGTGGATGGTTACAGCAGAAGTTGTGGATCCACGTCCCACAGTCACGTATGGTCTGCCCATCGTGCAGACAGATTCATCTCTCACCATTTTGCTCCTGTAAATCTTCTCATATAATTTTCTCCAACTACATCTAGAAATAATTGGAAAACGAATTGATGCATGAGGGAAGAGTTTTGCAAAGTGGAAATGTAATGTTTTGCTAACCAACTACTGGCAGATATCTGAAAACCTGGACTTATCTTCTTCATTCTATTAGAGTTAATTTTTTTCTCTGCAATTGTTTATGTTGTTACAGAGGATCTTGATGATTTAAGAATGGAGGGAGTAACTACCCTGGTACCTTCTGGGAACAAATTTAACCAAGGTCGAGCTACTCACTCTGCTGAACCTCAGGCCAAAGTCACACTGAACATCTGTTCAAGGTGTGCCAGGTAAAGCAAATAATAGGTATATCTTTGTATAAACATGATGTTGAATTTTTTAAATCTAAGCTTTTGATGCAATGCGTGTACTCTTCTGTGCTGACATTGACAAGGGAGTTAGTTGTACAGTTTATCCCTGTGCCCAATGCCACTCAGACCGACAATGAATCAAAGAGTTTAGATTGTCTTTACTTCACAGCCGGAGACTATTTTAAGACTTTCTGTCTCTGAATTTCATTTGCTGTCTGCCCTTCTGTTCCTTTTCAAAAGAAGATTCAAGGGGCTCTGAAAGTTCAAAGCCACTCTAAAGCACCTGCATAAAGGCCAGTTTGCCCAGGTACAGTTTTAGATCTGATATTATTGGCCTCTTAACATGCCCCACATCCTATTCACGTCCTGGAAAGAATTTAATCAGCTTGATGCCTTTCAGTTTTGGCAGCTGAAAGCAATCCTTGCATATACTGTATGTGGCCAAAGAAGTAGCTTAAGTTACTGCCAAGTCAGCTCCCAGTGCTGGTCTAGCAGAAACTCACCAAATAGCTAGAATTCATTCTTTTGTAGGAACAAAATCTCATTTGCAAAGAGGCTTTTAAGCCTGTTTAAACGATAAAACAAGCCTTCTAACCCTTATGTAAATGGCGCAGATTAGCAAGAACAATGCACTGGCTGGCCAGTTTTATCTCCTTTTCTTTATGTCTCTGCTGTTCTATTGTACAGTTTGAGAGGGGATTAGTGGCTTGGAACTGGGTGGGGGCAAGTGTAGGAAAATCAAATCAGATTTTTGTAGCTTTTCCTTGCCTTCACCCCTTTGGAATTTTAATTTTAATTGTCATAGGCTTAGAAGAGTAAAAAGAAATAGAAATAAAAATAAATAGAAAATCAGGGGATATTATTTGAGACCATTAAGAGAAATGGCATAGCACAGTGAAAACACCAATGGAAACGTTGCTTCAGACAAGTAATATTTGCGTGGATTGATTTTTCGATGAGGGTTGTGAACAACCCGGCTGATATTTATGTGATGATATTTAGGCATCGTGAGTGTGCAAGGTCATCTATGGAAGAGTTGTTTGGCAGTTTAAAGGAACTTGATAGTATATTTGTACATTTACAGTTTGACTGGAGAGGGGTTGGTGCTTGGTCCTTGGTCCTTCATATTATTTGTAGAAGATTGGGATATGAGGTGTTTTCTTTTTGAAAGGAAATCCTATGCAAACGGTATGTTTTAATGAAGTATTGAGGACTTGAATTGGCAAAGGGCCAAACCCATTCATAGCCCTAAATTATTTACATTTAGTTTCCCAGTGATAAGTTAGATTATAAATTACAGGCCACCTGCATTTAAGGTAAACTCCTAACTGAAAGTTTTGAATATTCAACTGAATAATAATCAATTACATTTATCGTATTCTTTCTATGTTACCCAAGTACACAGCTAGTGAGTGGCAAAACACAGTTTCAAACCCCAGCAATATAGCTTGACAGTCTGCCTGCTTAGTCGTTTTATTTTTTTGCTAAACACCAAGCTATTGTGTGAAGTTGAAGAAGGAAGCCTAAAATAGATAGAAATGATGAGCTACAAAGAGATTTAGGTGTCTGAAATGCTTTGAGTTCATGATTGCCTTGATGGAGAATAAAGCAATACTGTATGTACTTTCAAAAGCAAGATTGATTCAGGGAAATCAATGGGAGAAGTATGGTGGAAGACACTAGGCTGTTGAGTTTAGAGTAGCTGCTGTAGCCAGAGTTTAGAGTGGAAGAAAAACTAAGATCAGTTGTCAAAAACTATGAGGAACCTGAAAATTTACTCTATTTGCAACCTAATACTGTTTTATGATGCTGGCAAAAGACATGAAACTCCTGGGTCAGAGACCAAGGACTTACTACTCATGACAGCAGTAACAACTGTCAGAGTATTAGCATTTTCATTGGTTCCCTGAGCCACAAATCTCATGGCGTGACACACAGAGGATGACACACAGAGGACAGCAGGTTACAGTATATGAGAGGAACACTGAGTTTAGGAAACCTGAATATTTTATATGAAGTTAGCACTGCTCTAGAGAGAGACCCCATATCTGTCTTCCAAGGCTGTCTGCTATACAAACATCCCCAAACAGATGGTTGGAAAGAAAGGCTGTCAGTGTCTCTGCTCATAAGATATGCTGACACGTGAGAGATTCACGGAGAATTGTCTCCCAGTACTATTTAGAGTGGACTGCCTCTGTGATGCACTGATGTAGTTATCAGAGTTTTCTGCAGTTAGTTGTCAAACATCAATTTGTGTTGCTGGCTCACCTCTTCTAGTTACAAGTAAGGCTTTTAGGACTGTGAGAATTAGACTTTTTAAGCCAGGGCTGAGCTGTTATCTGAGGCAGAAGTCAGAAACTGGAGGACTGTGGGTAGTGTCCAGTTTTGTATCCACATAATATTTTAAAAATACCACTGGAGGGAACCTTCAAGATGGCGGAGGAGTAAGATGTGGAGATCACCTTCCTCCCCACAAATACATCAGAAATACATCTACATGTGGAACAACTCCTACAGAACACCTACTGAACGCAGGCAGAAGACCTCAGACTTCCCAAAAGGCAAGAAACTCCCCACATACCTGGGTAGGGCAAAAGACAAAAGAAAAAACAGAGACAAAAGAATAGGGACGGGACCTGCACCAGTGGGAGGGAGCTGTGAAGGAGGAAAGGTTTCCACACACTAGAAGCCCCTTCGCGGCGGAGACTGCGGGTGTCGGAGGGGGAAAGCTTCAGAGCCGTGGAGGAGAGCACAGCAACAAGGGTGCGGAGGGCAAAGCGGAGAGATTCCCGCACAGAGGATCGGTGCCGACCGGCACTCACCAGCCCGAGAGGCTTGTCTGCTCACCCGCCGGCGCGGGCGGGGCTGGGAGCTGAGGCTCGGGCTTTGGTCGGAGCGCCGGGAGACGACTGGGGTTGGCGGCGAGAACACAGCCTGCAGGGGGTTAGTGCGCCACGGCTGGCCGGGAGGGAGTCCGGGAAAAAGGTCTGGAGCTGCCGAGGAGGCAAGAGACGTTTTCTTCCCTCTTTGTTTCCTGGTGCACGAGGAGAGGGGATTAAGAGCGCTGCTTAAAGGAGCTCCAGAGACGGGCGCGAGCCGCGGCTAAAAGTGCAGACCCCAGAGACGGGCATGAGACGCTAAGGCTGCTGCTGCCGCCACCAAGAAGCCTGTGTGCGAGCACAGGTCACTCTCCACACCTCCCCTCCTGGGAGCCTGTGCAGCCCGCCACTGCCAGGGTCGCGTGATCCAGGGACAACTTCTCCGGGAGAACGCAGGGCACATCAGGCTGGTGCAACGTCATGCTGTCCTCTGCCGCCGCAGGCCCGCCCCGCACTCCGTGCCCCTCCCTCCCCCCAATCAGCTGCTCCTTTAACCCCATCTTGTCTGGGCCAAGAACAAACACCAGCAGGTGACCTACATGCAGTGGCGGGGCCAAATCCAAAGCTGAACCCCAGGAGCTGTGCGAATAAAGAGAAAGGGAAATCTCTCCCAGCAGCCTCAGGAGCAGCAGATTAAACCTCCACGGTCAACTTGATGTACCTGCATCTGTGTAATACCTGAATAGACAACGAATCATACCAAAATTCAGGTGGTGGACTTTGGGAGCAACTGTGGACTTGGGGTTTGCTTTCTGCATCTAATTTGTTTCTGGTTTTATGTTTATCTTAGTTTAGTATTTAGGGCTAATTATCATTGGCAGATTTGTTTATTGATTTGGTTGCTGTCTTCCTTTATATATATATATTTTTTTTCTTTTTTCCTTTTCCTCTTTTTGTGAGTGTGTATATGTATGCTTCTTTGTGTGATTTTGTCTGTATAGGTTTGATTTTACCATTTCTCCTAGGGTTCTGTATGTCCGTTTTTTTGTTTTTTTTTTTAGTATAGTTTTTAGTGCTTGTATTCATTGGGTGATTCGTTTATTGGTTTGGTGGCTCTCTTCTTTTTTTTATTACTTTTTTATTTTAATTATTTTTATTTTAATAAATTTTATTTTATTTTATTTTTTTGTTTCTTTTTTATCCCTCCCTTTTCTTGTGAGCCATGTGGCTGACATGGTCTTTGTGCTTTGGCCGGGTATCAGGCCTGAGCCTCTGAGGTGGGAGAGCCGAGTTCAGGACATTGCTCCACCAGAGACCTCCCGAGCAATGTAACATCAGTTGGTGAGAGCTCTCCCAGAGATCTCCATCTCAACACTAAGACCCAGCTCCACTCAACCACCAGCTAGCTACAGTGCTGGATACCCTATGCCAAACAACTAGCAAGACAGGAACACAACCACACCCATTAGCAGAAAGGCTGCCTAAAATCATATTAAGTTCACAGACACCCCAAAACACACCACCAGACGCGATCCTACCCACCAGAAAGACAATATCCAAACTCCTCCACCAGAACAGAGGTACCGGTCCCTTCCACCAGGAAGCCTACACAACCCACTGAAACAACCTTACCCAATGGGGGCAGACACCAAAAACAACGGGGACTATCAACCTGCAGCCTGCAAAAAGGAGACCCCAAACACAGTTAAGCAAAATGAGAAGATACACAGCAGATGAAGGAGCAAGGTAAAAACCCACCAGACCAAACAAATGAAGAGGAAAGAGGCAGTCTACCTGAAAAAGAATTCAAAGTAATGATAGTAAAGATGATCCAAAATCTTGGAAATAGAATGGAGAAAATACAAGAAATGTTTAACAAGGACCTAGAAGAACTAAAGAGGAAACAAACAATGATGAACAACACAATAAGTGAAATTAAAAATTCTCAAGAAGGAATCAATAGCAGAATAACTGAGGCAGAAGAACGGATAAGTGACCTGGAAGATAAAATAGTGGAAATAACTACCACAGAGCAGAATAAAGAAAAAAGAATGAAAAGAATTGAGGACAGTCTCAGAGACCTCTGGGATAACATTAAATGCACCAACATTTGAATTATAGGGGTCCCAGAAGAAGAAGAGAAAAAGAAAGGGACTGAGA